GGGTTGGCTAACAGACTCCAGACTGTCAGATGACATTTTCAAAGCCAGTGGAGAGGAACACAGTCAGATCCTGAGGTCGGACCTGCAGCCTGCTAACCGAGGTGTCAGAACTGATCATCTAACACACAAAGGCAGGAACTTCTGTGACAAAACACACTTTTATTTGCTGCCCTTCGAGAATTCCCAAGTTATTTCTGATCTGTCTGTTCAAATTTTTAAGAAAACTCATGGATTGAGCCCATTTCAAAACCTGAAGTATACAGAAAAACAAGAGGAATATAAACCGATGGCAGCCTGGTTAAAAGATATAATATTGTTATATGATTGAAACCAACAGAACTTGGCACAGTTTAAACTTTTCAAAGTACAGATTATGAAAAGCCTCCGACCGGAGTGGGGAAAGCATGATGTGGGGGGTGGGCTGTGCTCACTTAGAAAGACATGAAGGAGAGTTGTTCTTCATCAGMGAAAAAAGCCATCCAATGATGGCAAATCTCTTTAGGGGAAAGCAGAGCGGTGGCTTTACACAGATTATGCTGCAGCACAACGGCTAAAGCAGATTTGTAAGACTTTGCAATAATTTAAAGCATCTTTTTCTTCCTTTTTTAGTCTGAGACAGAAAACATAACCACTGCTCGAAAAACTGGAGTGACAGCGTCGGCACAGATGTGACAAACACATAATCAAAGTGTCASATCGAGATCAAGATGCAAAACAAACAAGGGAAAATAAGAGGATAAAATCACTAAACACCTTTTTTTTGGACAAAATTTAAGGGGAAAAGAAGGGAAAAAATAAAGTGAGGACATGCTATCTCTTAAACTTCACAAACACAAGTAAAGAAAATGAGCATAAGGGGAAATTTAAACCACAATGTTGCGTAACAGAAGAGAAATCCTTCTTTCTGCTTCATCTACATGTTCTAACATGTCTCTAACATGCYTTTAATGACAGGAAAGGCACAAACCAAACACCAAAACCGGAAAGTTGAGCTGTAAATGAGTTTTGTAGGAACCYGCAGTCAACTACAACATGTTACTTGTCACATAATCGTACTTGTTGTTTACAACTGTGACTTTAAAAAGGCAGTAATAATAAAAAAACAAGACTGGAGTTCAACATGCAGACATGATAGCCAAAAGACTAAAACACCTAGTACAAGCTTGAGAAAGGCATTTCTTCTAGCACTTCTGAATGTTTACAAGAATGAATTTGTTCCTAAATGTCAAAARAAAAGAGAAAGCAACTCACCATCACCAAATAAAGCTACTCCACGGCGCCTGTGCTGGTATTGTTCAGGACAGTTTCCTGCTCAGCAGCAGAACCAGCAGCCCTGGCAGAAGCCTCCACCCCGTGAAACACAGCTCACGATCTGAGWGCAAGAAGTGGTGAGCTGCGTTCGGGTGCTGGGGCTGAGAGAGCTGCTGGTGGGGAGCTGAGGGAAGCACAGCTGCACATGGCAAAAGAGGAACAGAGAGAGAGACTGGCAGCTGCCTGGGCAGGACGACAAACAGCTCTGGAGTCAGGGCCTATGAGCTCAGTGTGCCTCTGACAGACCGGCTGACTCGCTCCTCTCCTGATTTCAAACCCTGCCATCTCAAAACAAAAACACCCACGCACTTCAGCTCCTCTCTACCCTGACCCCAGCTTGCTGGAGTTTTACCCACCCTCCTCCCCTCCCCTCTATATTTCTCTCCCACTATATGGAGCACACAGCCAATCGTCGTGTGTCTCTGACAGCCAATCGCAGCCTGGTGGGCAAAATCCCGCCCATTCGTGTACACCCACATAACACAGAGAAACACAAACAGGGCAGTGACAGAGAGAGGGAGAGTAATGAGGGGGAACGAACAAAACACAGAGAAGAGTAGAGTGAAAAGAAAAAAATAACGAACGAGGGGTGGGGTTGAGAGTGATCAACCTGCAAGCTGAGCAACAGGAAAAGAACGAGAACATGAATTGGCTGAAAAAGATGAATTTGGTGCTTTCCCAGAACACAGAGAGAAACTGAGAAAGAACAGGAGTCTTAAAGCGTAACAGACAGAAGGCATCATGTTTGTATAAATCAAACCTACATTAGGCACCATTAGAGTGCAGAACGGCGTTGTGGAAAAAGACAGTTTTGCATACACACATATCCTCCGTCAGCCAGCAGCGCTCGCTCTGACAGCAACACTCTCCTTTTCGCGTCTTTCAACTCTGCTCCTGTCTTTCCAGCTGGCCACCAATACATACAAAACAAACACACCTTGTTTGTCCMTCTTCCTGTTGTCTGAGTGAAACAAGAAAAAAAAACAGCTAAAGGATGATCAAACTCAAACAGTTACTGAGCAAATGAGGTCAACATAAAGCATACTGAMTTAAAAACAACCTAGCAGGCAAATCCAAATGAAAACTTCCACAAAATGCATTTAATGAATCGGTATGCCTCCTTAAATTAAAAAAAAAAATCTAAGCGAGTGGTTTTCCCAAGCAAAGCTCCACCTACAGCACACTGTACAGCTGAACACACAACTGTTTAAGTCATGCATCAAACCATGGCAAGTAATGCAAGTGTAGCTTGTCTTCAGAAGACTGGGTTCCCCTAATATAACAAGACAACATGATCTACCTACAAGCACCTTCAACTCTTTGTTCCAATAAGCAAATGTCATGCGGGGGGTTGGGGGCAAAATGCCTGAAAATGTTGCAACAAGTACATACATTTCCTCTGGAGTGAACCTATGATAAGTAAGACGTAAGTAGGGTGGATGAAACACGAGATAACAGTAGCCGGTTTTCCACCTACGCGGTTTGGTTTGGCTCCACCCCACTSCGCACCCATTTCTGGTCTTTCCACTGTGGCTCCTGGCCGCCCTCGGCCCACTTTTTCGGACCTCCTCTCGARGTAGTACTGAGACCGGCACCGTTTGGGGCATGGAGGTGCCGAAGCGTGTAGCAATCGCGATTGGCCAATGAAGCTACATGAACCGCACTGGATGACGTTATTAACAAATGCGTGAACATTCTGAGCAAGCTGATTTACTGAGATTTTCCAAATGATGACGGCGCGCCGGGAGAAATTAAGAATATTGGGCCAGTTTTCAGAGCAGTGAAGGACTGTAATGGCCTGAGTGGCTCAAAACAGTGGGACAAGAGCTGGTTTGGGTAAATGGAGGCGATCTCTCTACAGCCACCAGTCTGGCTGCTGGACTCTTCACAAACTTCAGACAGCTGCAGATGTGTTGAGTGCTTTGTGCATTTAGTTATAGATTAAATATCAGACTTTTTTGTGTCAATAGATAACTAGCACAGAAGAATGATAAACAGCAGCTTCTGTGYCTCTATTTAAATCATACCACCCACTTTTAAAAGACATTAGTGCCCACAGAGCGGGGACACTAGTTACAGTGACCTACACCCAAGTAGAAACGAGTGGAGTAGAAACGAGTGGAGCCACACCGTGTAATGGAAAAAYGGCTTGTGAGTCTGAGGAAATGCACAGGGACTACTCTACAGAAATCCTCAACACCCAGAGGGCCTGCTATAACAGCACAGCATTATAGACATCACAGTTCCACATGACAATCTGCTACAAAGACTCGTTTGTCTTCAGATGTCTTCAATCAAAGATAATTCAAAGGAAATGTCAGAGCATCTAGATACATGTTGTATTATAATTCAGACTTAACTCTGTTTAATGGTTTGTTCAACAAACAGTCCTGTAACAGAAACATGACTAATAATGGTTTATTAGTTATGTTAAAGCGCTAGTCGTAGAAATCACTYGTGTTCACAAGGACACTGTTAAATTATGCAACACGACTTCATTTGGATGAAGTTTTTACAGTAGTATGTAGGTTACGTTATCGAGGCTCCAGCCAAACCAAAAACCAAAGTAGGGCATCACGACCTAGATTTGGGAACTCATTTCAGTGAAAAGGTTAAAGTGATCGGTTGGCATTAATCATCATTTTTGGGCAAATTCCAGTTTAAAAAAGTATTTTGTAGTGTTTTCACTGCCTGCCTGCAAGTAAATTGTTCAAAACGGCCTTGGCTCACCTTCCTGACTTTACTGGCACATTAGTGCAGAAGCCCAGAAGACACAAAACTGACCATTTCAATCTTTTACTGCCCGGGTACTTTGTAAACAGTATTAAGAGTATGTTGCAGTGTATACTGAGGTCCC